CGTCCTCGTCCCATCCCTGCGCAGGGCCCGGGGCCACCTGGCTGCTCCGTGCCCCCTCCCCGTGCCGATGCGGTGCCCGTGTCCACAGATTCCCAGTCCCAAGTGCGTGTCCTCCTGCTACAACCGCCTACGTAAGCGACGCTCCGCGAGGGTGCTGGAGGAAATGCATCCCCGCGGATGACGTGCCCGGCCCTTGCTGGCACTTTATTGCCTCCATTTTCAACAATGTTTCATGAGGAATCACCAGGCCTCCCGTTTCAGGCTCCTCAGTGCTTTGTGGCAGACACATTCTGGGTGACCTCGGCCCGGGCGCAGCGAACAGCGCAGGCCAAACCCGGGGATCCAGACCCAAGAACCCAGAGCAAACTGCAGCCAGAGCCATCACCACCGCTCACCTGCACTGGAGGAGGACTGTCCGTGGGCAGCACCTCCCTGAACCTCCCTGCAGCACCCAGGCAGCATTAGCTGTAATCAGCCTAAGCTTAATTGCTCATATCTTCGATCTTGTATTTCTCCTCACTGTAACTAACTGATGCTTGAGAATAGATTCTGGGAAACAAAATATTTGAGTATCAGCCTGCAGTGCCCTGTGCTCACCAAAGTGCCTGGCAAATACGGGAACGCAGAGAGGTGCCTTGCGACCTGCCCTGCACAAACACGCAGCAGCAGGAGGCCGGGCGTGCTGGCTGCGGGCAAACCCAAAAGGAGCCCGAGAGCTGCTCTGCCTCCTTCCCACCGAATCCAGGGGAGCAATCCCCGCATAGAGCTTCCCAGCGGCTCCGGGCCACATTCCCACCGTCCCTCTGCTAGGAATGCGATGAACAGCCTCGAACTGCAGCAGGAAAGGTTTACAGCCACACTGCGTGACAACCAGCTAAAGGCTTCCAGGACCAACAGGGAATTGATCAACCCTTCCCATTCATTCTAAACATTGCAGCAAAGGTGGTTATTTCACTGACTTGAATCCCTAACATACAAACCTAATTTTAATGCTAGGCAAACAAGCAATTCTTATATCTACTAACTAGAAAGAATCAGGTATCTTTCTTTTAAAAATAAAGCATGTTCTGTATGCAACTTTTTGTTGGCATTAACAGAGCAGGTCAGGGCTGAACTCTGCTCATACTGACTAATGTGAGCTAGGAGTGAGTTATCTTGGATCTCCTTTTTTATAGGAAATAATATAAATATAAGTAAAATTGTATTTGGAAACTGCATGCATTATGACATTAAGCATTAAAAAGTAATGCAGGAGTTTATCAATTTTTATGGAAGGCAAATATTTTCTAGTAAATGCTTCTTCCAATGGCATGGACTTTTAGTGCATCAAAGAGCACGATTGGAGTGCAGTGGTTATAATTACATATGTACATAGACAAAAAAGTAATATCATCTTGATATATTTTACAGTTACTGCATTGACTACAAAGAAAAAAAACTGAATAAGCACAAACTCAACCTGCTTGAGCCTGAAATGATGTGACAAAAAGGGTAAAGTTACAAGGAAAGGGGGAAAAAATGGTCTCATGTTGGTAGCATTTTTTATGGACTAAAGTTTTGTTTAGTTTTATCCCTCTATTTTTTGAGCACTTGGGTGACAATAGCTGCCACAGAGCGGTCTGAACTTGACTGAGATCCTGCACCTTTTCCCTTTCCATCTCAGCTCAGAGCTGCTGCCGCCGCGATCCCTCGGGCACCCGGATGGGAACGCCAGCGATGCCGAGGGCAGCTCCTGAGGAATGAGTTGCCCTTCCCTAGAGCGGGGACGCCACAG